ACCTGAACACTTGAGTGGACCTGCACAAAAAGGTGAACACTCCAACGCTCAAGTCAGTATAAGTCGGATTCCCAGTTTAGTTCGAGGTGAAAAATCATTCCTGAGTGTGAAGTGAGGCCCTCTATTTATGGGTGGCATGCCCGACAATCTTGCGACGGTTACACCCGGCAATCTCGCGACTGACGGTTACACCCGACAATCACGCAGCCGACGGTTACACTCTCACATCGGACGTGTCGGGACATACGGTAGGTCGGATCATGACCAGGTCGCACCTCGGTCTTTTATACTTAGCCTTAATGGCGGTGACCGGTCCTCTCATTGGGTCGATCTCGACCTGGTTCTCCAATCATCTTTAAAGCACCAATGGCTGTCCTCCACGTGTCCAAGGTATTTTTACACCCAAACAATCACTAAAAATGGGCGATCTTATTCCACCCAGCACACATCAATCTCATTCCTTTCTCACGTAATAATGAGACATAATTTTTTTTTTTAATTGTTTTATATCTTTATTATTTATTTTTTATTTATACTATTAATAATTTTTCTTCTAATAAAAATTTATCAGTGCATGTGATTTTATTATAAAATATTATAAATTTATATTTAGTATTTAATTTTTTTATTTTACTTTGCTATTATTATTTAATATCAATAGATTTTTAAAATAGAATTCATTATTATAATAATAAAATTTAATAATATTTTATAGTAAATTATGGCGATTCTAATAAAAAAAGTATTTTAGTCGATGTAATCTTATTTTAATTGTTCATTATTTATTAAAATAAAATAAATTGTTATAATAAAAAAATTATTATATACTAAAAAATAGTAATAAAAATAAATAAATAAATTATTATTATTGTAATTAAAAAAAAATTAACACAACAATATACGTGTAATTAGCTAGAAAGAATAAAGGGTATATTACTAATTGTTATATATGATTTCAATTCGAGAGAGTTTTAATAAACAAAATCAAAGAAATTTTGAGTCCAATTTAATAAAACTTTTGGTAAACAACATTAAAACAAAAATAACATTCTAGAATTGATTTGATTTCGATTAATTTTTATTTCAATTCCTAGCAAATAAACAGAGTCTTAATCTTTCACAATCCTCTTGATGCATGATCCTCCACCAACTTCTCTTCAACATGCACTTACATTTCTTCTCAACTTTTCTTTTTTTTTTCTTTTTATTAAAAAAAAAAGAAAAAAAATTGAATGAAATTACAAAAGGTATATCCCCGAAGCAGAATTACCAAAAGGCAGACCAACATGAACGAGGTCATTAAGACTATAATTTGTAAAAGTGGGGTAGTGACATTTACACAAACTAAAAGCCAGTAAGCTCTTCATTTATATCCATACATAATTACTCTCACAAATCTCTTCACATATGTTTCCTCTATAGTTATAAATATCCGTCGACATATCTATCGATATGTCCATGTTTTTATGGATTCGATAGAGACATGAAGGATAAATCAACATTTCCATCATAATACAAAAAAAATCGTCAAAATATGAAAAGTATCAACAAAATGTCGTTAACACATTCATAATATTAATATTAATTAATTTTAACTTATTGAGAAATAAAAAAATATTTATTTGTTAATTTAAATATTTTTTACGATTTTTTAATTTCTCTAACTTTTACAAAAATATCCATCGACATCGACATTTTATCGATATTTTCATCGATATTTCCATAAAATTGAGACCTCGACATTTCCATCAACATCGACATTTAAAACCTTGATTTCCTCACAGCAATACATTTTCAAACGTGCTCCGCTTCATCTTTCTTAATCTAAATTTATGTCATTTTAATATTTGTTCGGTTCTTGTAATTAATTCATGAATTTCTTTAAAGATACATTACACCAACTTCAAACGATGCCCCAATCGTTCAATACATTTAACAGAAAGAGAGAGCTAAACAAAAAAAAAACAGTTTGATACTGGGTTTATCTTTGCCATTACAAGAACCTGTTGTACAGGACATATTTGACAAGCTTAAACAGATAACATGGTAATTCAAAGATCTACATGCAAAGCCGAAGCAGAAGCAACTCGATCGGAAACTGGAGTGAGATGCAATGAATTGGGATTGACCTTTGCAAAAAATCTAGAGAGAACAAGTCGAGCAATGTTCTCGGCAGCAACAGCACTGGTTTCAATGGTACTGGCAGCATTCTCAAAAGCATTCACATAGTACAAATGTCGATCATCCAAAAGAAAAGGTGCAAATACTTCAGGAGCCTTGAAGTGGGGATACGCAGCCCAATCTATTCGAATTGTCTCATTTCTTACTCTGAAACAAGTAAAATAACATAACAAACAGCCAAAAGTTAAATATGAAGAGGCAACTTCTCAAACCCTTACAACTAGGATACCTTGGTGGGATCCTGCTTAACTATATTGCAATATCAAAGAGAAAATTACAATATCAATAGTCTTTCGAGAGGGTTATCTCTCTCCTAAAAACCCTCTCGAATTCCTCACCCTAAACTATTTTTCAAAATGATTCCCTTCTATCCCTACTACCTTTATTTATAACCAACTCACCCCAAACTAATTACCATATTGCCCCTTCGTTAACATACTAACAATATTCGCCCTATACGGGTTAGGACTCTCACAAACCCCTTTGGGATTGAGGCTACAACTATGTTGGTTGACATCTATACCACTTCATTGGAAAATTTTGAGGGCCCGCAAGCAAACATAACTCTAAATCACACAAATTTGAGAACTCCAAAAGTCAGTCAAAAAGGGGAAAAATTTTTAGGACCTGTTTGGTTGGAAACTCGAATTCTGTTTTTTGTTTTTAGATTCACTGAATCAAATGGATCCAACGAATACGTGTTTGGCAAGATTTTGAATATTTGTTTTTGAAAACTGTTTTCGGATTCTGTGATTCAAACAGTAGAAATGCTAAAAACGATTTTTTTATGTTTTCAGTGTTTTCAGATTCAGAATTTGAAAATTTGAAGATGCAGAATTACATTAAAAATGATAAAAACTTTGATAAATATATTACTTCATATTATAAACTCATTAAAATATAATGTATTCTAAATTATAACCTTGTAAAATAACAACTATACAAAATTCATAAAGAAATATGAATAAATTAATTAATATAAGTTTAGATTAAACTAAAATTTAGTTTGCAACTACTTCTAGTTTACAATATATTAAAATACATTGAACAATTTTTTAAATTGAGATTCAATTACCAAATTTGCTACCAAACACATATCTGAAAACACTGAAAACAAAAAATACAACTCTGATTTTCATTGAATCCCTTATTTTCAAATTTATGTTTTTTGATTACCAACTAAACAGCACCCTTAAATTTTAAGAAAGGACAACTATCGGTACATGAATACAAACAATCCATGTATTTAATAGAACAGATAAATATGCGTAAATGCATCCCATCAACTAAGCTTCATGTCCCTGGACATGCATGACGTGTATCTAGAAATCTTTACCTACAATTAAAGAGGAATGGATGCCATCCACAAACTCCTGTGATCTCAGCTTTCAGAAGAGGTTTTTTATTTTTTATTTTTTTGTTAAAAAAAAACTGCTTTCTTTGTAAAAAAATGAAACAATAGAAAATGCCTATTCTGCCAGGGTGGTCAAAGTAAGGTGTCCCAATCATACAAAATCATAAGGAGGCTACAATTGCAGTAGAATTTCTCTTGAACACCGCCATAAAGTTGTAAGTTGTACATTGTTCCACAAAATATCTTCAGCTATAAAAGCGTCTTCAAAAACTTGTTTATTTCTTTCTTTCCACACAATCCATAAAATAGCTCTCCGCCACACAATGCATAAAATAGCTCTCCGCCGCACAATTCCACAGCACTTTTGCCTTCTTTTTGAGCCTTAAATCCACCTTTCAGTCAACCAACTATCAAATCAATTAAGGGGGCAAACCAAAAGGGTAAAAAATCTGCAAAGTAGGATACCACCAATTACGGACAAAAGTGCAGCGTAGGGTCTCCTCGCTACTATAATACAATCTGCAAATTGAGGGAGGTACGCTACTATAATATAATCTGCAAATTGAGGGAGATAAAGACCACCTCGAAACTTCTTTGGAGCCAACTATCATGGAAGAGGAGAAGCGGTCAAAGCTCATAGAACACCATTTGAAACGATGTCTTAGAGAAACTTTGAGGAAAAAGCAATATAATCTGCAAATTGAGGGAGATAAAGACCACCTCGAAACTTCTTTGGAGCCAACTATCATGGAAGAGGACAGGCGGTCAAAGCTCAGAGAACACCATTCGAAACGATGTATTAGAGAAACTTTGAGGAAAAAGCAAGTCGTCAAAGGTTGGTTTCAGTTTAGCAAGATAAAGACCATCCCTTTGGTGCTCTCTTTCAGATTCTTTGTTTAGCTATTCTCCTAATATGATATGTTGTAATTTGGAGGTCTTTATAGCTTCTGTTTTGCTAAATTTAAGAGAATAAAAATATTCTAATATATATTCAAATAGTGCAACTTAGGTCTTCTTACAGAGGAAAAAGACCTACTACAAAAAGAATAGTAAACCTACTACGTAAAGGAATAGGAGACCTTATACAACAAGAAAAGCGATAAAAAGCATAATGACTTAAAACAACAACTAATAGATGTTTATCTATTCTAACACTCCCCCTCAAGCTGGTTTAAGGATGTCTTCCATAGCCATCTTGTTGATTAGTTTGTCAAATTGCTTCTTTGGAAGTCCCTTGGTTAGTATATCAGCAACTTGCTCTGTCGTTGGAAGATAAGTACATATTGTACCTGTATCAATATTTTCTTTAATAAAATGTTTGTCAACTTCAATATGTATTGTATTGTTTCTGTCATGTAGAACTGGATTATGAGTTTTAGATATAGCAACCTTATTATCACAACAAATCCATATAAGTGTTGCCTGAGGAAGCTTCAATTCTTCAAGTATCCTCTTTATCCATATACCTTCATAAATTCCATGGGCTAAAGCTATAAACTCTGCTTCAGCACTACTCCTAGCCACCACATTTTGTTTTTTGCTTCGCCATGTAACCAGATTTCCTCCGACGAAAGAACCGTAACCGAAAGTAGATAATCTATCCGTAGCACTTCCAGCCTAGTTTGTATCAGTATTGTTAGAGTATATATTTTATATTATTGTATTAATATGTATTAATTTGTCATTTACCTTCTCCTTATAGGATTAGGTCAACTTTGTATATTTGTCTATATATATAGACATTAATAATGAGAATAGACTATATTGGATTCTCTACAACCTTAGTCTCCACAGGGTATCAGAGCCCTAGGTCTTTTCTAAAATTTTTGAACTTAGGTTTTGGTACCTATTAGGGTTTTGTTTATTGGTATCCAACTCAACTCACTACTACCGCTGCCGTCACCGTCGCCCACTGCCCCCGCTGCCATCACCCACCGCACTGCCGCAATCACCCACTGCCGCTGCTACTGTCGCCCACTGTCGTTGCCGCCATCGCCAACGCTGCTGTTCGTGGGTTTCCATTTGCTGATTCGTGGGTTCATATTTGTGATTTGTGACGTAGTTCCTATCTCGCCATCGCTCACGCTTCCGTCGCCGCCCCGTCGCCGTGTGCTTTCGTCACCACCAGTCGCCACCCATCGCCTTTGCAATGCGCTTATGTCGCCGGCAGTCCGATTTTGCCCCTCTAATTGTCGTGGGTTAGCACTTAGGGTTTCTGGTTTCAGAAAACACCTGGTCCAGTTCAAGCGGTTCGATTCAACTGATTTGGTTCAAGCGGTCCGGTTCAATCTGGTTTGGTTCAAGTGGTCCGATTCACCCGGTTTGGTTCAAACGGTCCGATTCAAGCAGTTTGGTTCATCTGTTTTGTTTGGTTCTGTTCGGGTGGTTTGTTCTGGTTTTGTTGTTTTGTTCAAATAAGTTCGTTTGCTTGTTATGGCTGAGAAGAAATCAATCTGAGGTTATCCCAATCACAGAACATAAGTTGAATGGATCAAACTATTCTTCCTGGAAAATCAATGTTCGTCTTTTTTTGCGAAGTATTGATATGGACGATCACATAACTGAAGATCCTCCTAAAGATGAGAGTAAGAAAGTTTGGTTGTGGGATGATGCTCGACTGGTTCTGCAGATCAAGAATTCGATCGAGGGTGACATTATTGGATTCGTCAATGAGTGTGAGTATGTCAAAGAGTTGCTTAAATACTTAGAATTCCTTTATTCTGGAAAAGAAAATGTTAGTCGAATATTTGAAATCTGCAAGCGCATCTACCAACCTGAGTTTGGTGACCAATCGCTTACAAATTACTTTATGGAACACAAAATAATTTATCCGATGTTTAATCCATTACTCCAAGATAGTAACGATGCAAAAGTTCGGCTTGCCCAACGCGAACAACTAGCAATTATAAGTTTTCTTCTTGGTCTTCGACCTAGATTTGATGTGGCCAAAGACCAATTACTCTTTGGTTCATAAATTCCAGCTTTGGAGGAGGCATACGCCGGGTTGAGAAGTGACAACCCGTCTTGTCATCTTAGTCTAATAGTGCTTTGGTTGGACGTAATACAAATGCAAACCGAGGTAATACCTACCAAGGGAATTCCACGACTTCGAACGCTCAACGCTGGAATTCTAATGCTCAAAATCAAATTCATGAGATATCATTATGTGCAATTATTGTCATATGCCTGGTTATACAAAGTGAGAATGTAAAAAGCTGTTGAATAAAGGTCAAAAACCACAGTCTGCACATGTTGCATCTACTCCTGATAATGCTAGCAAGTTAGTTACAATTCACGCGGAAGAGTTTGCTAAGTTCCAACAGTATCAAGAGTCATTGACGGCATCGTCCTCTGATCCGATTACCACCATCGTTGAGTCAGGTAACACCAATAAATGTCTTATTTCCTCCACGTCAAAATGGATCATTGACTCTGGTGCGACAAATCATATGTCAGGTAACCTTAACTTATTTGCTAATTTCTCCCCATCAGCATCTTTGCCTGATGTTACCATAGCAGATGGCACCACTTCTCATGTTCTTGGCTCTGGCACAGTTCATCTTTCCAAATCTCCTTCATTGACATCTGTCTTAAGTTTACCACAATTTTGTTTTAATTTGGTCTCTGTTAGTAAACTCACTCATGATCTCAATTGTTGCGTCTTATTCTTCTCTGGTTATTTCTTATTTCGGGATCTTACAACGAATAAGACTATTGGTAAAGGGCGTGAATCCAATGGCCTCTACACGTTTGATACACAAATACCTACAACTACCATTTGCACTCGAGTACCATCTCCTTTCGAAGAACATTGTCGTTTGGGTCATCCATCTCTCTCCGTGTTAAAGAGTGTTCGTCCTCAATTTCATAGTTTTCATTCTTTAGATTGGGAGTCATGTCGATTTGCTAAGTTTCATCGTCTTAGTTTGTATCCTAGAGTCAATGAACGAGCTACTACTCTTTTTGAATTAGTTCATTCTAATGTTTGGGATCCTTGTCCTATTGAGTCCAAAGGTAGGTTTCGGTATTTTGTTACCTTTGTCGATAATTTTTCCCGTGTAACTTGGTTATATTTAATAAAACATCGTTCTGAGTTACTTTCTCATTCTCGTTACGTTCTTTGAAGATACTCCTTTTTCATCATCTTTGAGTACCAGTCAGGGGGAACGTTCACAAGAAGATGATGACTTTCTTGTCTATTTAGTGTCTCTACTTCTACTGGAGAGCTTCCTAGCAATACGTCTCCATCTATGCCTGATTCTTCTCTTCCCACCATTACTCAAGTTTATTCTCGTCGACAACCTCCTACGGACTCATGCCCTATACCAGCAGCTTCTTCGTCCGTGGATCCAAGAACAAGTGATGACCTTCCTATTGTTCTTAGAAAAGGTAAACGTAAATGTACTTATCATGTTTTTTCTTTTGTTTCATATAACCATTTGTCCTCACCTACTTGTTCATTTCTTGCATCCCTTGAGTTTGTATCTGTTCCTAAAACTGTTCATGAAGCTTTGTCTCATCCTGGTTGGCGGGCTGCTATGTTGGAGGAAATGACTGCCTTAGATGACAATAGTACTTGGAATTTAGTGTCTCTTCCTGTAGGAAAGAAACCTATCGATTGTAAATGAGTGTTTGTTGTTAAAGTTCATCCTAATGGATCAATTGCCCGTTTGAAAGCTCGCATTGTTGCTAAAAGATATGCACAGACGTATGGAATTGATTATTCTGATACTTTTCTCCAGTTGCTAAATTGGCTTCTGTCAAGTTATTCATTTCCTTGGCATCTATTCACCATTGGCCCTTACATCAGCTTGATATTAAAAATATCTTCCTCCATGACGATCTTCAAGAAGAAGTGTATATGGAGCAACCACCAGGTTTTTTTGCTCAGAGGGAGAATGGAAAGGTATGTCGTCTTCGTAAATCCTTATATGGGTTCAAACAAAGCCCACGAGCATGGTTTGGAAAATTCAGTCAGATGGTTGAGGACTTTGGAATGAAGAAGAGTAAGTCGGACAATTCTATTTTCTATAAACAAACTGAGACTGGTGTTATCTTACTGGTTGTATATATTGATGATATTGTGATTACTGGTAATGATTCATCAGGCATCGTATCACTCAAAACTTTTTTTCATAGTCAATTTCATACTAAGGATTTGGGAGTACTGAAATACTTCTTAGGAATTGAGGTAATAAGGAGCAAAAAGGAGATTCTCTTATCATAGAGAAAATATGTACTTGACCTGTTAACGAAACAGGAAAGTTAGCTGCTAAGCCACGTTAGTACTCCAATGATACCTAATTTACAACTTACAAAGGAAGGGGATTGTTGAAATATCCTGAGAAATATAGGAGATTAGTAGGGAAGCTGAATTACCTTACAGTTAAGAGGCCAGACATAGCTTATCCAGTCAGTATTATGAGTCAGTTTATGAGTTCTCCTACGACTGACCATTGGGAACGCATTGGAACATATTCTATGTTATTTGAAAGGTGCTCCTGGACGTGGTTTGTTATATAAAGATCATGGTCATATTAATATTGAATGTTTTCCAGATGCTAATTGGACAGGTTCTAAGTAAGAAGATCAACCTCGGGATATTGTGTATTTATCGAAGGAAATTCAGTTTCTTGGAAAAGTAAGAAACAAAACGTGGTGTCGCATTCGAGTGCTGAATCAGAATATAGAGCTATGGCACATTCGGTGTGTGAATTAGTATGGATATATCAACTTCTGACTGAATTGGGATTTGGTATCACCACTCCAATGAAACTTTGGTGTGATAATCAAGCGGCTCTCCATATTGCATCTAATCCAGTATTTCATGAACGAGTCAAACACATTAAAGTTGATTGTCATTATGTACGTGAGACCATACAGCAAGGATTGGTACCTACAGGATATGTGAAGACTGGAGAGCAGTTAGAATATATCTTTATTAAAGCATTGAATGGAGCACGAATAGATTGTCTGTCTAACAAGCTGGGCATGATTAACATATCACCAACTTGAGGGGGAGTGTTAGAGTATATATTTTATATTCTTGTATTAATATGTATTAATTTGTCATTTACCTTCTCCTTATCGGATTAGGTCAACATTGTACATTTGTCTATATATATAGACTTTAATAATGAGAATCGACTACTTTGGATTCTCTCCAACCTTAGTCTCCACAAGTATAAACTTCCACTTGAGAGTGATTACTCTTTTTGAACAAAATCCCTTTTCCAGGAGTTCTGTTTAAATATCTTAAGATTCTGTAGGCAACTTCAAAATAAGTGGGTCTAGGTGCATGCATAAGTTGACTTATCATACTTACAGCAAAGGCAATATCAGGTCGTGTATGAGATAGATAGATCAATCTTCCAACAAGTCTTTGACACCGTCCTTTGTCTTTTATTTCTTTTGCATTCGCTGCTTGTAATTTCAGGTTAGGTTCAATAGGAGTTTCTACAATCTTGCAATCAAGTTGTTTCTTCAAGTCGTGTATGAGATAGATGGATCAATCTTCCAACATATTTTCTTTGATTAACGAAGATACCTTTCTTCGATCTTGCGAATTCTATCCCTAGAAAATATTTCAATGTTCCCAAGTCCTTCATTTGAAACTCACTTACAAGATTTTTCTTAAGATCAGTTAGTCCTGCTCCATCATCACTAGTGAGAATAATATCATCTACATAGACAATTAAAACTGAGATTTTATTATTCTTAGAGTGTTTATAAAATATAGTATAGTCAACTTGACTCTAAAGAACCATAACTAGATACGATTTTTCCAAACCGCTGGAACCAAGCTCTCGGAGATTGTTTGAGGCCATAAAGAGATTTTTTCAATTTGCAGAATTTATTACATCCGAGTTCCTTTTCAAAACCTGGCGGTAAGTTCATAAAAACCTCTTCTTCGAGATCACCATTAACAAAGACATTTTGCACGTCAAGCTGATAAAGGGGCCAATCTGAATTAACTGCAAGAGACAAAAGAATTCTGATAGAGTTAATTTTGGCAACAAGAGCACATGTTTCTTGATAACCAATCCCATAGATTTGAGTGAAGCCTTTAGCTACCAATCTAGCCTTGTATCTTTCAATACTCCCAACTGCATTACATTTTATGCCAAATACCCATTGATAACCCACTGGTTTCTTATCTTTTGGCAGCTCCACTATCTCCTAAGTATTATTCTGCTTCAGAGCATTCATCTCTTCCATAACTGCTAGTCTCCAATTTGGATCTCCTAAAGCATCATGTATATTCCTTGTAACAAACAAATTAGTTATCCTAGATGTGAAGGCTCTATGACTATTTGATAACTTTTGGTATGAGATGTAGTTCGCAATAGGATATTTAGTACACCTTCGAACACCTTTTCTAATTACTATTGGAACATCAAGGTCAGAGATAGCAGGTGTAATCAATGTTTTAAAGGCTAAAGGCGGCCTCAAGGCTTTTCCTCTTGAAGAGGCGAGGTATAAGCCTCGAGGCGATATGAGGCATAAGCCTCAATTTTAATTAAAAGAATTATACAAATCTAAAATTTGTATGATCAAGCTAAACATAATAGTTATATAGAAGTATAAAAAAAATCACCAATTAATTGCCACTTAAATAAAAATCCTAAAAAAAGATCCTCAATATCACTATTAATATCGCTACTATTATCACTAGTAGGATTGACTTATTTTATGAAATTTGTCTCCAATGTTTTTAAAGTCTAAGTAGTAAAAGAAGTGATCGATTGAATCGTCACCACACCTACAGTGCATTCCATATGCAAAGAAACCTTTATATTTTTTAATAATTGGACAAATTACTAATATTGTTCTAATCATTACACGAGGCGTAAAGACTTTAAGCTCTGTGTGTCTTCAAAGAGGCGTAAGCCTCTTCTATGAGAGGCGTAAACCTCTTATGGTTCAAAGAAGGCGTAGGTCTCGAGGCTAAAAGTTAGAGCCTTGCCTTTAGGCAAGCCTCAAGGCTTAAGCCTCAAAATCTTTTTAAAACATGGCGAGGCGTAACAGTTGCACTTGGCGTCTAGGCACGCTTTTTAAATTACTATCTTACTTGGGTGTCCCTAGGATGAACGACTCAAATACCCATCATTAAAGTATCCCCTTACAATATGATATTAAAAAAATTCAAACTAAGAACAAGAAAACAAGCCCCAGGGCATACAATATTGTTCACATCCATTTCATTAAAGTATCCCCTTACAATATGATATTAAAAAAATTCAAACTAAGAACAAGAAAACAAGCCCCAGGGCATACAATATTGTTCACATCCATTTCATTAAAGTATCCCCTTACAATATGATATTAAAAAAATTCAAACTAAGAACAAGAAAACAAGCCCCAGGGCATACAATATTGTTCACATCCATTTCATTAAAGTATCCCCTTACAATATGATATTAAAAAAATTCAAACTAAGAACAAGAAAACAAGCCCCAGGGCATACAATATTGTTCACATCCATTTGAGAGGGCTAGAGCTCTCCTTCCCCACAAGTCTAAGACTTACAAAATGACAAAAGATATCTGAAACTAACTAAACCTTTCCCTTATAACCAACCTACCCGTACAGCCACTTCCCTAACTATCATGGATGGGTGAAATTACTCCTCTACCCCTACTAGCATAAGTATTTATAATAGGGGGCTCAGAGTGATTTATCCCTCACTTTTTTATTTTTCGTCCCTTTAGTAAAAGGTTTCTTATCCAAAAAAGGGTCATTCCCGCAAGTGGTTAGGACAAATGGGAATGGCCTCTTGAGCTCTCAAAAGCTTTCTCCCTCATATATGTGCTAATGATGGTATGCCAAGGCCAATCTTTTATACAACCCAATATGGCACAACAATTTTCCTAAGAATATCAATTTTCTTCTAGGAGACCTGAATCATGGGGGTTTAACTAATGATAATTGATAGGGTTCAAAAGAAAAACCCTTTCACTGTTCAATCCCCAAATTGGCGTTTCATGTGCAAAGCGAATGATGATTGCATTGCCACTTATTCTTATCATGCTCCTTCGCCTAAAAATACTAGACCCTCATGTTAGTTATTCCTATGGACATACATGACCTTCTAGCTACCATCTTGGTGGGACATCCTTTCGGGGGGTGGGGTGGGGTGGGGGAAGACTCTTTGGCTGCATATAAACAGGGCTTTTTGTTGGAAACTATGGCTTGAAAGAAACAATAGTCTTAATACTCTTGTGGCTAGATAGAAATGCTGTTTGTAATCGGTGTTTAGTGGCTGGGAAGCTTTTTCCTCCCCTCTTTTGTAACATTTCATTTTATCAATGAAATGTTTGATTCTTTAAAAAAACGTATTAAAAAACATAATGTGTCTAGCTTTTCTTTCGAAAATATAATCAACTTAAACTAAACAATATTTTCCCTAAACCACCACTCCAAAATTGAAGTGTAAAGTTTCTAGAAAATAATCTACCATATCGCATGAAAAGGCCTGGTTGCATTTCCATATAAAATTCAGGTAAGCAAATTAATTCAGCAACAATTAGTACTTTTTTCCAAATAAAGAAGGTCAGGGACAAAAGCCATTTGATTTACCTGAAGATCTTATCCAGTAGGGTATCTTTCATTAGTTTACGAGAGAATATCTTGTAGGTCATATCGTTGTCATCATGTTGCTTAAGAACTGAAATACTTGAAAATTGAACGTTGTCATTTTCTTTTGTGCCCACCAGCTTTGGAATACTAGATGGAGTCTTCAGGCCGAAATACCCCTAGCACACAAAAGACCATCAAGACTACCAAGATCTCCGAGAACTTGAAAATGATAAAGATAAATAAATGGAAGTTATAGAAGTATTAGAACTCTTTGGTGTACTTACAGGATTTAAGAGGCCCCTTACAAAAGTTGTATGAGTATGCTGCATTTCTCTCTTAGGAATTACAATCGGAGGTGTAAACTGAATGTTCAGTTCATCTAGAGGAGTAGCAACTACAGTAATTTCACATGTATAACTGTTTCCCTTGTTAGATTTGACCTCATAATATTCTCCTAGGTAAGAGATAGACTCGATTTCTTCTTGCAAATGTAATGTGCTATCTGAATGATTTATTAGTCTTGCAGCGATCTGCCAGTTACCACCTTCTACCGACCACAACCCTCCACCTGACCCTGCCAACGAAACTGCCCCAGCAAGTCCACTAATTGAGACACTTTGACCATAATTAATTCTTGTGATAACCTGCACAGATCAACCCAAACATTTTTAAGAAAATCTCAAAAGTTGCTCCATCTCAAGCAAAAATTAAAAAGAAAAGAAAAATAATTAAGGGGAAAAAACCTACATCTCAATATGGCAAGACAGAGATAAATGCAGAGATGGACTGCCTTTGAGCTTATATGATTTGTGTGAATGACCAGTTACATGGAATGAAACAAATGATAAAAATATTGACACTGACGGGTCAAAGGTAACAATTAACAATTTGTATTGATATCAACAACGCCAAGTTTTGAAATCAACAAATACATCAACAAATATAGTAATAAAATATTCTACATATTTTATCATTAATTATGCTGATCATATTGTTGCTCACACAATCAAAATGGCATGGTACTTTTTAAAACTTATGTTGAGTTTAAAAATGACTCTTGGTAAAAGTGCTTATAAGTGCAGCGTTTCTTCTATAATCACTTTTGGGAAAAACACTAATTAATCGATTCCTCTAAAAGCACAAATACTTTATAAGTATTTTCTAAAATCTTCCAAGTCTATTTTGATTATCAAACCCAACACTATTAAAATTTTGAAATTTTTTTTTTTTTTGGTTTTTTTAACCATTCCAAATGTCATCCTAAATTGACCCTTAAAAAAGTCTCACCAGCTAAAACAATTGTAGGCTACTCTATGAGTTACGTTATACTAGAGCTATAGCACAATAGTGAAGACGAATAGCAAATCTCAAATAGAAAGCAAGTCAACATTCAAGCACAATATACTGAAAATCAAACTAGTATTGAATTAGGGGAAGTATCCAAGCAGGGAATTTAATGCATAAGAATGGATTCTCAAAGGTTTTGGTTCCAAAAGTTTGTGCATCAGAATTTGCATTGTAACAGTTTTATCTCACTTGGAATGACAGATCTGAATTTTCAGAGTTGCATGGTGCTTTGAAGTTAGATCTTAGAAGTATGAAATCACAATAACCTACCCCAGATTTTAGTTCATGACATTCAAATAAAGTCTTGGTTCTTGGAACCCATAGTTGATGACTATGTATAGTTTAAGCTCCAGCTCCGTAGCCTTTCAAACAAATATGCTTTAAATTAGTTGATCTTTCTTCCCAGAGGTAAATTAAATCAACAAATTTCCTTTGTTTATTTTCAATTCAAATTTTACTAAAAATTTCAGAAACTTACACCAAGAGATACCAATTTAAACACCTTTGATGATACCTGGTTGAAGTTTTCACATTCAGGGATATACTTGCATACTTATATTACATAAGCAAAACAGAGAAACCTCCCCAATCCCCAATAGTTATAAACCATTGTGAACAATGGGCAAAAGAATGGAAAAGAGTAATTAAAACATGCAACTGACAGTAATTTATAGAGATTCGTGCAAACAAGAAAGCCAAGTCAAAAGTTCTTACAGTGACAAGCTCTTGTATTAGCAAGCGAGATAATCGAGCATCTATTAACTCCTCAAACAAAGTTCTGGTGGTGAGATTGTACAAACCAGACCAATTGAGCATCTCAGTTACAGTCTCAAAAACGGGCCTAGATTCAAAACTTTCATAGTACTTCGAGAACCTTCCCACAGCACTCTGCATCATCAATTCACCAAAATAGAGAGTCAACGCAAGGTTCGCCGAAAAGTGAGTATTTCAAATAATTCCTTGTTAAAGAGGAGGATAGAAGATAAGGAGACAAAAAAACCTCAACGAAGTCCTCCATCCTGAGAAGCGAGAAGCCGTATCGGAAGAACATGAGGAGCTGATTCCATAGCTGCAGAATCTTAGCCAGAAGAGGAATCTTGGAAGCGAGGCCGCCGTTAAGGGTTTTGAAGACGAACCTGTGGCCGTCCCAAATGCCGAGAGAGAGCGAGTCGGGAGAAGAGGGTTTTTTGAGAGTGAGATTGAGTAGGTCAGTGAATCTCAAGGCGTGCAGATTCTTGGGGTGCAGAATGGAAGCTCCGGCCTCGAATGTGTCTCCGGCGACGTTGACGGTGGCCATGCGCCCACCGACGATGTTGTGGCGCTCAAATATCCGAATGTTGAATCCGGTGGAGGCGTTGTAGGCCGCAGCATAATGTCGGAGGAAGTGGGAGACGGAGGAGCCGCCGATGCCGCTTCCGACTATACACACAGTGGGTGTTGCTTGGGATTGGGAAATCGCTGGCGGAAGGACGAGGAAGAGAAGAAATAGATGGCCGATGGTTGACCAACCCACCATGTACATGCTTCCAAGGCCCTTTGAAAGAAGCACTTGGTGAATGTAACTTTATCTATTTTGTCGGGATTTTCTAAGAAACAATTTGCATTTTGACGGGATTCTTTTTTAATAATTACTTTTTAAAAACAAATGACAAATGTAGAGTAGGATTGAAGCGTATTCTAAAAGTAGGGTAGGTAAATAGTAGCAATTGGCTGCAACTTGAGCGAAATCGCAGACCGTCGCCTACGATTTCACTGAAGTCACAGCCAACGACGCGATTTCACTGAAGTTGCAGTCGACGGCTACGACTTCGCTTTGACGTGGCTCCACGTGTAGCCACGTCTAGAAGGAAGTTGCAGCCACCTTCTGACGCAAGTCACAGCCAACTTGGCGAGCTCCTCACCCGCCACCTCCTCCGCCGCTGGAGCTCTAGTTCTGCCGCCACCATGACCGTACGTCGATCGTATATTTTTTTTCTTTTTTATTATTAAGTTGATTTTGTTTGTAAATGTTTTTTTATTAAGTTTGTTTGTTTGTATATGTATTTTTTTTATTAATTTTGTTTTGTTTGTATATGTGTTTTTGTTTATTAATTTTTTTTGTTTGTTTGTATGTATATGTCTTTGTTTTTTATTAATTTTATTTTGTTTGTATGTCGTTCTTTGTTTGTATATATATTTTTTGTCATCAATTATTTAATTTAGACATAGATTGATTAACATTGGATTATGATTAACTTTTTTAGATTTATGTTATATGTTATGAATATTGTTATATGTTTTTTTTTAAATAATTCGTTAACATAGTTATAAATATTGTACAATTATGTCATTATATTGTGATGAAATTGTGATACTTGAACCTTGAAATGGATCCGCTTCTGATATTGAGGTGGGAGTGGATGAATTGTTTGGAACTAAATTGTGTGTGAACCTTCTACTAAATTTGAATCACCCACTCCCAAATGAGGAACCACCTTCACCGATGTTTACTGAAATATATTTTGAGATTGTAGACTCTATATGTGAAGAAGGTTCAAAGTTGGAAGAAGGGTCGATATCTCTAGAAATGAATGTGGATAACATACGTATAGGTCAAAATTTAGGATCAAAGAAGAACTACAACTTGCTATCAAGAAATATTGTATTGCACAACATTATCAATTTGTTGTAATGGAATCGAATCAAGATATGTGGTATGTAAAATCCAAATAGTGGAATGATGGTTGCAAGTGGAGACTTCGCGCTCGTCGACATAAATCTCATGGGATGTTTGAAATCAGTGTACTTGAGAAGATTCATTCGTGCTTATATGCCGAGCTTACACAGGATAACTCACAATTGAACTCAAATTTTATGTGCAATGAAATTCAGAATATTGTACGACGTGATCCTAGTACGTCTGTAGCTTCATTACAAGAAGTCATAAAAAAAGATTTT